CATGCATGCATGCATGCAGCCATACATACATAAATGCATGCTCACGCAGACCTACATACATACATGCATGCAAGCATGCAATGCACACATACATACATACATACATACATACATACATACATACATACGTACATACGTACATACGTACATACATACATACATACATACATACATACATACATATACACACACACATGCAGCATGAAACTCATCCTCTCGTCCATCCATCCATTCATCTATCCACAGGCCTGCATGCAGGCATACTTAAACACATATCATTATATGCATGTGTGTATACACACACACACATATATATATATATATATGCATGGATGGATGGATGGATGGATGGATGGATAGATGGATGTAACATGTAAGTTGCATATATCCACACGCTGCAGGCATACATACATACATACATACATAAACACACACACATACATGCATGCATGCTTTACATGCATACATACATACATACAACATACATACATACATACATACATACATACATACATACATGCATACATACATACATACATACATACATGCATTCATACGTACATACATATATACATACATACCTACATACATACTACATACGAGCATACACAGTACATACGTGCAAGAATATGTAGACATACATACATGCATGCACGCGTGCATACATGTGCACACGACAAACTCGTATACAAGTTTTGGTTCTCTGTTTGTACTTATCTGTGCGACGATTCCTGGCCGCATTCAGCTGCGATTCGAGCGTCACGTCGACAGCAGAAAGGACTGGAATCCTAAAGGAGGCTTCACCAACCGGCCTGTAAAAACTTTGACACACTGCGAGCAGATCAGGGAGGAGTCGATGTTCCTCGCCAAGCACATGGTTTCGCAACAAGTCCACATACGCTGCGCTGTCGACAGAGTCGCCTCTCCCGGCAGAGGACTTTGGTGTTCTGCATTGCCTGACATCGGTGGCAGCTTCAAAATATGCCCTCGTCAGTTGTTTCCAGATTCCCATCCGAACAACAAAAGCCGCATCCTCAGCCCCAACCCCATCAGACGAAAGACCATCCTGGAAGGGATGCGCTTGCCCAAAACCTGATACCATCCCTGTGCCGACCTGGAGCCAGAACCCATCATTTTCAACCAATGCAGAAAGAACAAACCTTGGTCAATCCTCGAAGCCCACGTCTACCGCGACAACTAACTTGAGATCAAACAGAACCAGCACCCGGACTAAGAAAAGCTGTCCACTCCGAGTCTTGAGCCTCTCACAAAACACATCCTAATTACCGGGAGCCCTCTACTTCAAACCCCCAGCCCTAAACCCTGTAATGATCCAGTATCTCGGCCCTCTTGCTCTCGGGCCTCCTCGCGCCGTGCCGTGCCGAAGCGCGCCGGGCCGGCGTCCTGTGTGCTGGAATCGTGAAAAAAAGTGTATGATTAGATACCATATCGAAAGCATGGTTGTTATTGAATGTTATTGGCTATATACTCACCGCACCTGTTGGTGGGGCCGGGGGCCAGAACTCTTGAGTTTCAGGGGTCGGAGGAATTCATTTCCACGCTGAGCTCTTGATGCGAAGACATAGGGATCTGTCAGGATCTATGCAGGCTGTACTACTTTTGTTACTATTGTTACCAGATATCATTATGATGGCGATACTATTACCATCCCTATATTTTGTTATTGTCATTATTTGTTTCACAGTCTAAAATTATTGTTAGGATTCGATCTACATATTTCTATATTGTCGAACGAAAATAGGGGGCCTTGTCTCTGAGAGTCTCCGATCTTCCGATGCCGGGCCTCTGCTTCGCCCGGGGCGCTGGGCTTCCGGTAGCTAAGCCGGAGGCCGATAAGGCGCTGAAACTCCTGCGATGTTCTATTCGCTCACAACAGGCTTTGGGTTTCAGCCGCCAGGACGGCACCTCGGGAGTTCGCGAGTCATGGTCTTGGCAAGACGATGTCGGCCAATGCCGATCTACGGTTTAGGGTTTAGGGGCTTGAATCTTGTGTAGCAGCCGTGAGTACGGTAGCAGGTTCGGGGTTGTAGCTTTCCGGACCTTGCTGCATCCACATCAGTCTCGCCCGATGTCTTGAAGCTAGTAAAATACAGTATGCTACTCTACATCCACCACCACCACCACGACGAC